TCGTCGAAATCCAACCACTGTCCGGAACGTCTCCTGTTATCATACATGACCCATTTTTCATCACAGGTGACAATTCGGTTCAAAAACGGGTCGTTTCTGTTGCGCAAAGCAGTGAAGAGGAAGAGGCCCGATTTCTGCCGGTCACTCACTTGTGGGGCACCCACTTATCGAGTTTTTTCACCTTCCCAATGCGTTTCAGACCATCTGCAACAGTGGATTTGCCAACGCCTAGCTTTCTCTGCTGTCTCTCGAACGGTTTGGGATGGGTCAGCCTTCAAAATCCCCTTAAAATCCTCGTCAGATATTGCTTTAGGTCGACCGCTATGAGGTTCACCTTCAAGGCTGAAATCTCCAGAACGAAATTTGTTGAACCATTGCCGCACAGTGCTTTCTCTAGCACTATTGGGCCCCACACCTGGTTAATTTGAGCTGTTTCGATTGCGGATTGCCCCAATTTACAGTCGAAGAAAAAAATCGTCCGAAGTGCTCTTTTCACATGCTTGAAAAAATCTTAAAAAAAGGAAGGGGGTTCATAAGCAATGGTGAAACGGCAGTTATACCATAGATTGGCGCGCAAAGAATTCTCTTCAGGATGTACTACTGAGACGCAAGGGAGAGTGAGTTTTTAATCAGCAATGAATGTTCAAAAAATAGTAACACAAAACGCTGAGAACTTTCCGGACAACCTAATACTAATCCTTCGTCGCCCAAGCATTACATTCGATTTGATTCGATTCGACGACGGAAAACATTCTTAGCGCGCAAGCTGGCCTAACAATCTGGGCGCCAGATCGGATCATTTCTGAGGGAAAAACCCTATCCCTATGGTGGTCCTAAGATTGGGACGAGGTCACTCTACTGCGAGCCGGGGAGGGGGAGGGAGGGGTGAATGCTCTTTCTGCGGTAACCCTTTCAACGGCCAAAGTGTATATTTGAATAGCGCATGACTCGAGAAGGTATAGTTGACATCTTTGCAATAAGCCGGGGCGGTGCAAGAAAGGGCTAAAAGAGCTCACCCTGGCTGCTTTTTCTACCAATAGTGACCGGTTAGTGATAGATTTTGGTAGAAAACAGCGGTGGAGGGTAGAAAACGCCGCGGATAGGCTCATTCCATCCCTCAGCTACCCCCTCCCTGATAGAATGCCAGGACTTCATACCCGTCGATGAAGAATAAAGGACTCACTGCTTTTTTTCTGGTGCAATTCGGGGACCTTTCAGGGGTTGGGCTTGGTGCGACCCAGCTGGTAGAGAACAGGCCGGCGCCCGGCCAAACCGAGCCCACTGAAACGCTTCAATGTCTGCAACAAACAAGATGGCATAGAATTTTCTCAGTGACTGATTGAGCTTACTACGACGCTTCCTTGTAAAGCCAACCCGGTTCTGGTGCAAATACCGCGCGCGCGATGCCACTTTTTACACCGCTTGCGTCGCGCCGAAACTCGGATCTCTTGACTCGTACTCCTAATGACCACCAGTAAATGCGTAACTTCTCAATTTTCGTTGTAAAGACATTATCTCTGCAAACGAGACAGAGTGTGAAGAGGGAGGGGGGAGGGGTGAGGAATGGATCAGATCGCAACTAGGGCAATCTCATTCACCAGTCACTATGGGTCAGGATGGCATCAAAAGGAGGAGAAAGGCTAATCTGAGAAACGCCCCTCTGAACGTTCAGGGATGATGACTGTACGATTACGACTCCATTAATTTAGACTAGTTTAGACAAATACGCTCCCTTAACCCCCCCCCAGTTTCCTTTCCTTTCCATGATTTCGATTCCGCCCGGTCCATTTCGACTGGCCTGCGCCAAGGATTCTTTACTATGCGCGTCTTCTCATCCATAAGTTTAGTAAAACGAACATTGATGGGAAGCGTTTGGTTAAAATCAAGCCTAAAAACCTCCCAGAAAGATAGACATCTCCTGTGCAGTAGTACAGGGAAGTATAAGTAAAATTTAGCGCTCTTGTGAAGTCATCACATGCAATAGTGGTACATGTGTGAGCGATACGAATCTGCAAGGACATTGTATCTGCCCACCCGAACGAACCGGAGAATTCTGCGAATCAGGTGAGTTGCTCAGCGCTCTAGCGATTTACGTCAATATCAACGCCTCTTTCCCAACAGATCACGTCCTGGAGTTGGAGGGAAGTTAGCAAAATACGATCCCCCTCCCTACGCCACCTGCCCCTGACAAATCTACTTTCGTCCTCCTTTCCGCCCCCTCATCCTACCTGCTTCTACCTAAGTTCTCCGAACTTTCTACCACTATGTCAAACTTTTCTTTTTTTTCGTCGACTGCTGTTGAGCGGGGCGCGAGTAGGGGGAGGGGGGAACAGAGCAGACGGGAGATCAGGGCTTCTACTCGCAGCTACAATAGATGGTTCCCTGCGCGGTTTGAAGGTTTCATTGATGACCTCCGCTTCCAGAGAAAACCTCTTCGTTCAATCTTTATTTCAACGGTAACCCATCCACTCAGAAGATTGTCTCACGAAAATTCCTTTCGACACTTCTAAGGTATGTTATGACTCTATTAACTTTTTTTCTCTTTT